CAGGTTTATTCCATTTCTGTTGCTTGGCTTACGTTTGCTTAGGGTTTTTTTTTCTTGGTACCTATATGAAAATTAAATAAGGGAATTATGTACTGTAGTTAATAATCTACTAAAAGGCATTCTATTAAAAACAGAATAGTTCAGAGGTTTTTTTTTTTTTTCCCAGAAGAAAACTGTGAAAAAAATGTGCTTGTTTGATTTCTACATTAATTGATAGGTTGGTTTTGTAAAGACTCTTCTGAGCCTCCACTTACCGCACAGCCATCGTGAAGGGCTTTGATGTGAGGACTGTTGTCATAAGACATTTCTTCATCATTTGATCCTAAGAACCTTAGTGCTTTGTCATAGCTGTCAGATGATGCATCATACCAAGCTACAGACTGATGACAGTTGTAAGTGAAATTCTGTCTGGCAGAGGCACTCAGTAGTCTAAGGAATGTCATTTGGACCATATTAATGGAATTGCCTTCAACATCCAAATAGGAAAGCTGGAAAATACAAGTTACATCAATATTTTTCCATTTCCTTTGTTAAAATGCAAACTAAAATTATTGTTGACAAAAGAACCACAAAACTGTCCTTAAAAAAAAAAAAAAAAAAAAAATCAGCCAACATAATAACATTTTATGGAGTGTTAAAGTTCAATAAAGCTACAGCTCAGTAAATAGGTTTTCATCTTGTAGCAATAGATTTAGGATGAAGAACTCAGGACAGAATTACACACTGAAAGACAGCAGAATCTCTTTGGGAATCTGCATTCAGTTAATTATAAAGTGATGTCACCCTGCAGTCTCATCTTTGCATACTCAGTATATTTCCAGCTACCTAGAAGTGGGCAGGGGATCTGCGCTCCAGCTGCTTCACTAAGGGTCAGTGGTGATGTGAGCACTGGGATCATTGTGGCAAAATATAGAGCAGGCTGCTGTCCAGTGGCAAGAGGTTGCATACCTGTGCTAATATTTAGGGGAAAAGGTCTGGGGCTGAAGAGACTTTTTATTATCTATGTATTTGTAAAATTATTTGGGATCTGTTGATCACTGATAATGTGTACTTGATTTGTGAGTAACTGTTATGTTGCAGTAATAACTTACAAGTTTGCCTCGCTTAAATTCACTAAACCAAGATCCTGGATTCTCCTTTGGCCATGATGAAATCCTAACCTGCGAGGTAAAACAGCAGAGATAGAAGTATTTAAAACATATGTTATCAGATAGGAAGGTTTTACATTACCCGGGACAAATTTCACATCAGATAGTAGATCTCAGCCCCTTTAAAGGTCTAAAATAGGACGGTTTTCTTGTACAGAATGCCTTCAAATTAGTAACTTTAAACAGAATCCAAAGTGACAGCTTATAAAGAGAGCTATTTCTATTTAAGGGAGACTGTTTTCATTTGTTAAGTTTCAGGTAAACTGCTGGTTTAAATTTTCCCTGTGAAGAGTGTATAAATTAGAGTTTTCACTGTTGTTAATGCTGATAGATCTCTCTCATTTAGGTAAGCTTTTAGAAAGCCACCTCTACACCATCTGCCCCATCAGAGGTCATTTATAACAAGTGAGGACGCTGTTAATATATAGTTTTTTATATCTACTTTGCACAGGTATAAAAGGAATAGACATAAATGAAACCACAAGAGAAATGCAGTAAGAGTCTAGGTTTTAGGTCAAACGCTAGATTATGCACTTTAACTGGCTGCGCAGCTATGTTGCACCCTGAAATGCAGTGAAATGCCAGCAAGCAGATGCAGAGATTCCCTATCTAAGCAAAACAGTGAAAATACTGTTTGTTACATCTATGTACCATTTTACCACTTCATTCAGATTTGTGCACATTTTAGTGTAACCAGAGAGATAGATATACGAAAATGTGACAATGTAATTATCTTCTTTAGTTCAACATTGCAACAGCGTAGTAGGATCTCTCAGCAGCCAGCTGAAAACACAGATTGGCACTTACTCCTTCAGATTTTTTATCTGGGTAGATGCAAGTTTCTCCGCCTGCTGTGAAATTGCAGTACACTTTGAAGGAGTCTCCAGAACATCCCTGGTTAGGATCAATCCAATACTCCCCTAAAACAAATGAGAAATTATTTGGCTTATGTAGTGAAATCAGTATTTGTAAGATCCAGGTTTTACTGCTACCCCAGTACCTTTTCCTCTACTTTGGTCCTCCAAAGTTTGTAGCAAAGTTGTTTTATCTGAATGATGAGAAAGCAACACTTTTCTGCCCTGTGATTTGTTTCTGCTATTATCAAGACTTAATAGACTTATCAAGTCTATTTTTATCTTTTCTTTTGTCTAATTTTTTCCTTTTCTTTTTCTCTAATTTTACTTCAAACTATGATTCTGTTGCAGGATACTGCTTGAGGTTACAAAAGAACTTGGTCTAGTGGAGGAAGGACATTATGCATGAAACATACATTGCAAGTCTCAACAATTTGGCCATTTCAGTATTTAAGATAGAAGGATAATTTGTACCTGTGGTAACAGCACTTTCAAAAACAGAGCACAGGCATCTTCAGGCATAAAAAAGATATGGCTTAGGTCAAAGAGAAAAATCTGTAGTCATTTGCACACCTATCTACATAAAAACATGGCCACACAGGGCTTGGTCAGGTTGTAGCTGGCACAACTACCTAAAGCTTTTATTGAAAGAGCCATATTTTAAGCAAAGATGTTTTTGCTACTGGGTTAGGAAGCTGCAAGACTAGACTAGTGAAGCTCCAGGCTGCTTCAGTTGATAAAAGCACCTTAACTAATCCTTGGTTAGGTGACACAGTAGGAAAGACAGTTAAAACTTCCCCTATATAGTTTCAAGAATCCTGCCAGACTGGCATGTCTGAGAATTCAGGCTCTACAATGCTAGGGTGAGTGAAGGCTGGGCATGAAAGAGAGCCACAGTCAATCCAAGGTCCATTAAAAATCAACACTTTTTAACAAGATACTAATTATAATGGTGATTTCTGTGGTGTGGGTCCTTCAGCTAGTTTCTCAGTAAGACAGAAGATGATTTTCTGACACTACTGTTCTAATCCAATTTCAAGCTAATACTGAAGGTTTCAAAGAATGACAAATCCCTTCATCAGTTCTGTCTTCTAATTACAGGACATAGACAAAGCATTTATGGTATTTTAAAATTCTATTGATTCAGGCTGTACTTACTGAAAACAAGTTCTTGCCCCTGGAGAATCTTGTGTTTTAATGAATGCACTTACTTCTATTTTAAACAAAATATTACTTTTATATGAAGAAAGCTCCAGATACTAAGCAAATACTGGTAAATGAAGAAAGTGAATCTGGTTTATAAAAAACATTCATTAACGCCACTGAATTGTAAAATATGTATTTTTCATATAGCATATACATTGCTTAACTATGCCTCAAGTCAACCATCTGTTTTTATCTATCTAGAATGAAAACAATAAAATAGCATTAAACTGTTGAAATCTATTTTCCCTCCCATTTAAAAGCACAACAAAATACTGATTTGAACTTGGAAAAGTATCCATTGCAAACTGAAAAAACTATGAAAGCATGAAAGCTCTGTGAAGGCTAACTTTCATTTAAACCTTTCCAGAGGATAAACTCAGAAAACAACAAAGAATAATTGAATCAAGACAGTTCTTGAGAACACAGGGTCTTGTTCATACTACTCTGCATTTTATTAAGCTAGTTCTTAGATGCACTAAACAGTATGAGAGAAACTTGAATGTCTATTCACTGAATTATATAGAACAAACAGTGGTCATGCAGTGAAACAAATGATTGTTTCTAAGGGTAAAAGAAGAGTAAATTTTTTGAGAGTCACAGTCAATAATAAATCTCATATAATACCAGTGCTATATTTTTTTGCTCAGCTAAAGTATACAGCTAGAATAGTTTTCATTTCTTTTAATACAAGCTATTAGCTATCCCAGCAGGCTGACGTTTGTGATTTTCCTTTCCACTGATCTAATTAGCATCAATCTTTAATTCCTCTCCTGTTTGGATAGTTCTGGAAATGCAAGGCCCACATTTCCAAAATTTATGCTTTTTATTTGGCACTCCACAAAGTTTTAAATCTAAACCCAGATCAGGTTACATATTTAAAGCATTTAGGATTTCACCAAGAGAATGGCTCTTACTTACATTTTATGCATTTTTATACATGAAAAATTGATTTAATGAGACTCTGTTCATTGATCAACTATATTAACCACCTACCAATAATGAATTATTCTCTAAAGTATCCTAGCAGATTATAACTTCAGCCTTGTTTGCCTTTGTCATGCAATATTAACATACCATCTGGGAAGTCTGGGTGGCAGAGTTGCAGGTCTTTGCAAGTTCGGGCTGGGTTATTCTGTGTGCCCATTGGATACTTCATATGCTCAATGTCTTGCTTCAGTGAATTCAATGAACCAAAGATCTCTTCCATGCCATCAGAATAATCCAGAATATTATCACCAGCATCAGATAACATGTAATCAGGAGATCTTCTTGTCTTTTTGGGTGACTGGATTGGCAGTGGCTGGATTACCTCACCTGGAGGACCCTGAGTGGAAAACAATGTATCTGGTTACCTTTTCTGTCTGTTTTTCAGCTGCACAAATAGGCAGACGAAGACCACAGGATGTGGCTTGCAGAAGCTTTGAATAGGCTTTCTTCAAATTCTTTGTTTCACTTATTTCCTTGATATTTTGGGGAAGAGTGTGTTGCCCTCATGTAAGTTAAGTGTGCAGAACTGACTTGTACTTGCCTATTTATCCCTGGCAATTCCCTCAAGCACAGGCATAGCCTATGACAAATGAAAACTGAGGATGTTTTCTTTGATAAAATTTTAAAACTCCACTTGGGGTCTACAAAGCAATACTTCAAGTGATTAAAACATTTCATCCGGATTTGGAAAAAAAAAACATTTTTCATTAATCCCAAACATTAATATATTCCTTATCTGCAAGTTCAAAAATGCTGGCTTCTACCCTTCTGCATGTCAGATAACTGAGTTCTTACTTACTGGGGGACCAGGCGGACCAGGTAACCCACTGTCACCTTTTTGACCAGCAGGACCCTATAAGACAATGAAAGAAATGAAGTGCTGACCATACTACACAATGTTAAAAGTAACACACACAGAAGTTAAAGAACAAAAAATATGGATGCAAACTACTTACACTGGATCCTTTGGAACCTTTTGGACCTTGGGGACCCTATGGGCAAGAACACAGAACTGTAGTTGGAGTGTATGTCACACAATCGGGGAGTGTTTAGAACAGGAGGACTGGATGAAATTACTTACAGGTAAACCAGGAGGACCAGGGGGTCCAAGTGGACCTGCAGGGCCGGAAATTCCCTAAGACAGAGTAAGAGAGTAAGTACAGAACTGAAGTACTGGACTGGATTTAAAAATGCATATTTATGAAAGCATCCAACCCTGATGAGTTGTGATTTAGGCCATTTGCTAGAGTCCAAATAGCTTGTAAGTTTAAAATATTACCTGACAGTTTGAGTTGCCTGCAGTTGTTCTTACACTGCAGTACTTACAGTCACAACCGTGTTCCCCTTTAGACTGACTTTGAAATCTCACTTTTTACATAGTGCCTGGAAACATGGATAACTAGGAGAAAGGAAGCTACTTCGGGTAGTGCAGTTAATAAACATGATGAGATTGGTGTTGCTAGTTTTATCTTATCCCTTAGGTGTATGTGATTACTTAATCTTCTGAAGTATGATCTTGTTTTAAGCTAGCTTCACAGTGTCTGTAGGAAAGTTTTAGCTTCTAGCAGGAGGTTCTGGGTGTTACATCTTTATAGTAACTTTATGTCTCTCAAAAGAAATAGCTGAATATGTGCTTTTTGCTTGCACAGAACTTGAATGAAAGCACAGATATGTTTTACTCACTGCATCACCCTTGGCTCCAGGAGATCCCTGGGGGCCAGGAAGACCCCTATCACCCTTTTCACCCTGTTCTCCTGGAGGTCCAATCAGGCCTATCAAACCAGGATGTCCCTAAACAAGATAGAAGAAAATATAGTTAACACACAATATGTATAAAGTAAATGTGCTTTTCAAACACATGAATTAGAAATTTCAAATGTCATCACTGTTGCTAGTCAACGATTAACCTGGAAAAAAAGTTATTCTGAAAGCATATTAGTTGGTTTTAGTTGGCCTTTTAGACTTAATTTGCAAGCTGCGACTGCTTATTCAGTGAAAGAGGTGCAACATACTCCTTACTGAAACCAATACAGAAATAACAATACCTGTGGGTACAAATTTCATAAATGTTACATTTAGATGCTATAAGCATATTATAGAGTTGCACAGTCATTTCCACATGCAATACGGCTGTATAAGCAGCTGCTGCAAGCACATAAACAAAACCTGAAATTCAGAAGATACTGATATCCTTTTCTCTATGCAGTTTTTTTCTGATATACAAGCAATCAACAAACTGTGCTATCCTGGCTGTCTCAACTCATTATTTCAAAAGAAGGTATTATAGCTGTTAAATATTTAGATTTTATTGTTTTAAAATAAAAATCTCAAGTACTTTTTATTGCTACTTACTTGTTTTTGTCAAATGAACAGCTCTCTTACATCACTGTCTTTGGGATTTTTATTGCAAGGAAGAATCACATGGTCAATAGATAAACAGGAAGTAATCTTTTCCTTTCTATATAGCTCCAGGATACCAGATGTGGATTAAAACTTCACAATTACTATAAGACTATGTGAAGCTGAGTAGACACAGTAAGTTGTCTTGCTTTCTGATACAAAACCTCTACTGTTTCTTCTGCTAATTTTATAAAGCTTTTAGACTGGATAAAAATTACAAATGTACAAACAATGACTCCATTATACCTTCTCTCCTTTGGAACCTGGATCTCCTTTCAAGCCAGGCAGGCCAGGTGGACCCTAAATAAATCAAGGGAAGCAATGTTAAAGTAAGTTTAACATACTGCTCAGATCATGGTTGCTTGAAATACTACTGAAGGCAGTGTAAGTCAAAGTACAGAGTCATTCAGTGGTTAACGTTTGTGATTAATAGCATGTAATTTAGGGCCCATGATAAAGCTGAATTTAAAAGTGTGATGATGCTGCTGTAGCATTTAGGTTGCTTTATAATTAGAAATCTATAGAGTTTTATGACTATAAATCTATGAAGCAGAAGGTCAACTGAATTCTCAGAGCACTGAAAGCATCCAGTGAAGCAAGTGATGTTAAAAAAATTCAAATACTCTTTTTTTATTACCCTAATTTTGCCTGTGGTTACATTACATGCTTTCAATTGTTACTTCCATTTTAATTGCCATACCTTATTTTAGTTGTTTATTTTAGCCCTTTCTTTCATATCATAGTGGACAGTATCCTTGTAATGTTTTAATGCTTATAAAAGGTGGAAGCAAAGACAGGTGGCCTTCAAAGAATGCAGGGATGTTGTCTGGGAAGCTAGGCACCAGGTTAGGAAAGCTAAGGCCCAGTTAGAATTAAACTTGGCTAGGGATGTTAAAGATAACAGGAAGTGATTCTATAGGCACATAGCAAATAAAAGACAGACTAGGGACAACGTAGGCCCCCTCCAGAAGCTATCAGGAAACTGGCTACCCTGGATAAAGGCGCTGACCACACCACCCAAGTCCTGGAAGGCAGACACAGGGACTGTGAGAATGAAGACCTCGGGCCCACTGTAGGAGAGGATCAGGTTCGAGACCATCTTAAAAACCTGAACGTACACAAGTCCATGGGACCTGATGAAATCCATCCGCGGGTCCTGAAGGAGCTGGCAAATGAAGTTGCTAAGCCACTGGCCATCATATTTGAGAAATCATGGCAGTCAGGTGAAGTTCCTGATGACTGGAAAAAGGGAAATGGAAAACCCCCATTTTCAAGAAGGGGAAAATGGATGACCTGGGGAACTACAGACCAGTCAGTCTCACCTCTGTGCCTGTCAAAATCTTGGAGCAGATTCTCCTCGAAGGCATTCTGAGGCACATGAAAAACAACAAGGTGCTTGGTGACAGCCAGCATGGCTTCACTAAGGGGAAATCCTGCCTGACCAATTTGGTGGCCTTCTATGATGGGGCTACGGAACTGATGGACAGGGGTAGAGCAGTTGATGTCATCTACCTGGACTTCTGCAAAGCATTTGACACTGTCCCACATGACATCCTTGTCTCTAAATTGGAGAGACATCAATTTGATGGATGGACCACTCGGTGGATAAAGAAATGGCTGGATGGCCGCACGCAAAGAGTTGTGGTCAATGGCTCAATGTCCAGCTGGAGACCAGTAAGGAGTGGCGTCCCTCAGGGATTGGTGTTGGGACTGGTCTTGTTCAACATCTTTGTCGCTGACGTGAACAGTGGGATTGAGTGTGCCCTCAGCAAGTTTGCCGATGACACCAAGCTGTGTGGTTCGGTTGATAACACCAGAGGGAAGGAATGCCATCCAGAGGGACCTTGACACGCTTGTGAGGTGGGCTGATGGGGGCGTGGGAGGGGGGGGTGGGGAAAAGAGGGGAAGAGAGCAAGCAGCTGCATGGTTCCGAGTTATCAGCTGGGCTTAAACTACAACACCTTACCTTACAGAGGTGTTAAACTGATAACCTTTTTACTGGTATCAGTTTACTTAAATGCTTCACATCATAAGAGCAGCTTACAATTTCTAATTTGTATTTACAAGCCATCCTTTCTATAGCACAGTAAAGGCATATGTTAGTTTATGAAACAGAGTAAGAAATTAATGCTTTTTATTCTCTGTCTTATCTGTAGTTGTCCCTCACCATTGCTCCATAGAGCTAGATTTCTGTAAACAAAAATGTGCTGGGACAGAAGACAGAGCTGTGAACAACAAGCCCTTCCATGTTTCTGGGATGGGTGTGGGGAGGGGACAAAGTAAACCACTCTTTTTTTTTTCAGGTGGATCCAATGTAAGCTGATGCTTATAGAATCTATTGGAAAACTCTGCTGCAGTCTTACTAGCTGGGAAACCACTGCAAAGGAGAAACATCCACACAGATAGGTCTTTTTTTGCACCTCCCTTGCAAAAACCACTGAATAACCTTGTTCTTATAACTTGACACAAGCTTATTTTCCCTGCCACTGTTTTTTTTTTTGTAGCTTTACTGGGTCATAAGAACAACCCACTGAAGACACTACTTTATCAGTTGTAAAAATCCGGAGAGATGTCACAGAAAAAGTCTCTATATGAAGCTTGTTAAAATCACCTTGGCTTGCCTTTTTTTTTTTTTACTATTTTAATCCTTACTTATCATTTTAGAAGAATTTTGAGGGATTTGAGAAATACTCTGAACTTCACAAGAATGGCAGTGCTGGTTTTCTGTAATTTGTACTGAATGAGGTGAAAAAATTCAGGCTATGCAGCGCACATGCAATCCCAGAAAAAGCATTCATTTCTCAGAGACTATGCATCTGGACACTGAACACTTCTGCCATCAGGTGTAGAGCTACTAGACTCAGTCAGTATCTCATCGCTGCTAGTCTCCTGCTGGCAGTGGACACCTGAGAAGTGATGATATGGACAGCAATAATAAGTGACCTTTTCAACCAGGCACAGATTCAAAAGTGCTGTAACAGTTCATGTACAAAATACTATTCAGTGCATACCCTTTCCATCTCTACTTCAGGTATCATTAGGTGCAAAAGCCTAGGCAAATACATAATTCATGAATGAAAAGTGGAATTTTTAAGCTTCTAGAATACAGAATCAGATATTTTCACCTGCAGTGTGTTGTGCTCTGCTGCAAATCTGCTTTCATATTCTTCTCCCTATAGCAATCTACTGTGGAGGGAGGAACGTGAAGGAGGGAGACCTAACCTCAGCAACTTCTGCATATAAACTCTACTTCCTTAAAATCCAAACTAAAGTTTAAGTTGCAGCAATGCATCTAAAAAAAGGTTCTTGCTGGGCTAACAAGACACTCTTGTTGAGCCTATGCATTTGGGAGTATACACTTCCTTAATACATTTAGCTTCAGACTTGAACTGAATATTTAAGCTCTCAAATGTTGGAAAAGAGAGTCTTTGATGATGTATTAGGAGGCTTCTGGTAACTGATGTGTGGGAAAGGGATGCTTATTATTGCTGAGTAATTTGTTCTTTGGCTTTAGGTATCAACACAGAATTGTAACAGAGGAGATCAGTTTTTAGTTCCCTGATTTCTCCCTCACGCATTTTATTGGGCACATCATTTAAAAAACTATGGTGGTGATCCCATCATAAACTCTCTGTAAAAAAGCATTTGTATTACAGGCTTAGCACCGGAGTATACTTTTTCCTTGCAGCTTCTCATTCACTGTTCCCAACTTCTGACTTACAAGCAATATGTTGACCATGAGACTAGACAAAAATTAGAATGTTAAAATGAAGGACAACAAAGACGTATAGTGTAAAGTTTCCTTGGTACATTATTTCCTCATTTTTGTTTTCTAATGGACAGAGAAAAATGAAATTATACATAGGTGCCATTGTCATATCATCTATAATTATTTACATAGAAGTGATTGATAGATACCCCTATCCACCAGGTCACAGTCCATTGGGAAAAATCCTTCTAGTGAGTGGGGCATAAAACTGTTTGTTCTGAAACTCTACTTAGAGGTTATGAACTTGCATGTTTTGAAAATGCAAATGGTTACCCAAATGCTTTCACCTGTGCAAGTGTTTCTGTCAATGAAAGAGAAGGCAATTGCTCATTTTCACATATGCACATGAAAGTGAACAACTGATTTAGGGTAAAAGTCTTGATTTTTACAGCATCTCAGTTTAAATTCCTCATTTTTTCCACTTCCATTTTTATCTACTGGAAAATTCTGATATGAAAAATGCATAGCTGCTGTTCAGATCTTGAACTCTCACCAGGGAGGCAGGAATGCTCTTGGAGAGATTTTGACTTCAGGTTTATAACTTAAGTGCAAAAACTTTCAATATTAAGGCTACCTAAGGACCTGTATCATTTGTATCCTCTGAGTCTGTATAGGAAAAGGAACAGAGGATTCCCTTCACACTTCTTACTCAAAGCCTTTCTCTTGCCCTTTAAAAGCCACATAATTTGTGAGGTAGAGGTTAGCTCTTTATTGCCCTATTCTCCTGAAGTAATCTGATTGTATATTCTGGCCAAAATAACAGAGTACATTTTACTTAGTATGTGATATGTTTGCACTGCTTGCAAACTGTTAAATGCCTTAACCGTGTAACACTTGTTACTCTTCCATCAAACTGTAACAGTCTATATATTGTTTCAAGGATTTTTATTCCCAATGTGTCACTCAACTGTGACAGTTTCGGTGAATTTGGAAAGCAGCAGATGTACGATCTTTCCACTAGTTTATATAATTTAGATTTGAATTTCTGCACATAATACTGAATCAGAACAGCAGTGTTGTGCAATTTGTGCTCAGTATCATGTTTTCAGCTTGTTAGAAGAAAATGCACTAAAATAGCAAGTGTAAATAGAAGCAATGATATAACTTGATAGTATGTCATCTATGAGCTTCCCTTGCTTTTATTAAGACATAGCAGAACTTCAGCATGCCTTAGATGCACTAGAAACTGGGAGTTTGGTTCATTCAGACACTTTTGAAACACTGGTTCCTGGCACTGCTGCAGTGAACAACTGACATGATGTTACTGTTCATTTTTAGAAAACTAGCATAAAAACTAGGTAGAAGTTCCTTTTTGGCCCTAATTCTGACCTGATTTTTACTTCTCTAAGGAATAGATATGATCCAAACTTTTACCCTATAAATAATATTTTCCTAAACTAGCAGTTCCTAAAATCAATGGCTGTACAAAACTTGCAACTGCTAAGGAAACTCAAGGATTTAAAGTATGAAGCTTTGCTGACATGGGGACAGAAGTAGATTCTTCGATTGTAAGTTTCATTAATTTTAGTTTTCATTCTCTTCAGGGGATTTCAAGAATCTGGTTTTACCCTGCCTCATGAAGTTTTTATGCGCTCAACATCATTCAGCACAGCTGCCTACTGAAGTAGAGCAGTAAAATTCAAAGGCAGTTGTGCATCAGATTTTACCAGCACAGAATAGTGACTTTGTGCTAGGAACAGACTTGTACATTCATTTTTCTGTAAATGCTATATTTTAATGAAATGGTGCTTTTTCTGGTTTGGCACTGAAAGGAAGCATACTCACCAGAGGCCCAGGAGGGCCATCCTGACCTGGCGCCCCAGGTAGACCTTGTTCTCCCTAGAAAAAAACAAAGTTTGCTTTACTAGAGGGTATACAAGAAATGCAACATTTATATTTTTACTATATGCTCTGTTTACTTACCACAGGGCCAGGTATGCCCCGGAGACCCTCTGGGCCAGGTTTTCCTGCAGGTCCTTGTGGACCAACAGGGCCTGTTTTTCCAGGAGCCCCTTCTGCACCAGGTTCACCCTAGAAAGAACATAGCAACAGAGATCAGATAGGAAGAGCTGACTAAGCTTGGCACTGTAGGGAGATACAAGCTGCAAAGTGAGAGTCAAGTTTCTTCACTCCTTTTTTTAGAAGCTATTCTAGAAACAGTGTTCCGTACAGGACAGGTTTTTGAACAGTATTTTGATAGCTTCATATAAAGATGTGGTGCTGCCAGTAAAGCAGGCTCATCTTGCTTTTCTACAGGCGTGAGCTAAGTTGGGCCTGCACTGTGAGAGTCCACCATGTACTCCATTATGTACTGCTACTAATTCTGGAGTTAAATTTGGATTTTATCGTCCATTTTTGTCCATAATTTGTCCATTATTGTTTTGGTTAAGTTTCACATTCAGTGCATGAGAAGGAATTTACTTTTCATTTATATACAGTGTACATTCAAATGCTCCCCAAAAAAATCTTGACTGTATTACCTTGGCACCTTTTTCGCCTTGTCTGCCTTCAGCACCAGTTGCTCCTGGAGGTCCCTGTAAAATATGGAGACAAAGCTTATAATCTCAGGTTTCTAAAATAGTGGAAAAAAATCTGAGAATGTGATTTCCACTGTATTAATTAGTAAATACTAACTAAAGAACATTAAATTTCTTTTTTCGGCATTTAATTCACAGGATAAAAATCCCAATCTGTCATATCAGCTGTTTTCCTCTTGATAAAACTTTCTGGATTTTTAGAATAGCTAAAAGAATATACATCACCTAACACCTCCAATATGATTAAAAACAATAAATAGCTTGGAAAAATCAAAACAGGATATAAAAGGAAAAGAACAGTGCTAATTTACATACACAGCAACAGTTTTAAATTTGCTTTGCATTGGTTTCTACGTATTCATTGTGGGACAGAATGGCATTTAATTCTTTATTCTAAGTCAGGGATGGTCTTAGTAAGCATTTGATGATATCTGGACATCCAAAAATTGATACATGCCTTAATATTATCCAGTAAATATGGAAAGGGAAAAAAAATAATCATGAGTAGAGGTTGTAAGGAATGAAATGAAGACACTGACTACAAGTAGCTCTTCGTACCAGTTTCCCTGGTACCTTGGTGCCTGGATACTGGTCTACAAAAGCTCTATTTGACTAAGAAGACACAACTTGGTACTGCAGGAGGATGTGGAGATGAGATAAGGTTCAGGTGAACGCCACAAAACAGGAGCTGCAGCCACATGGAAGTACTTCTAATACCTATTGCTGATGTCACACATCTTTCATTTTCTTAAGGTTTCAATGAAAAATAAAACTACATTTTTCTCCACAAAAACATTAAGGGGTTATTTTCAGGTCAGGAAATTAATATTCATAGCTTCAGTTATGAACAAAAGCAGTATCTAGAATCTAATGTACTCTGCTGAAAATGGTTCTCTTATATAGTTTAGAAAAAGATGCAGTCAAGATAATAGACCAACTGTTTCCTAGGAGGTTAATTTCTAGCATGGGAAATATCTTTATTACTAGCAGCAATTTCTTGCCAACCAATGAGCAGCTTAAAGCAAAAGGAAAGTAAAGGGACTATGATCAAATACAAGGTGATCTTCTGAATCTATAAAACTTACTTCCTAAGACTCGGCTATTCATTAATGCTGCAAGCAGTTTGCTATGTAGAAATTTATTTACTGCTTTTTACTTCAAAACAAGAGGCAATAAAAAAAAATGCAGGACCCTAAACCGCATTCTTAATTTTACAGATGAAACCTGTTTTTACAATCAAGCATGAACCTGTACGCTTTGCGAGTTCTGGGTTTTAGACTACAGTTTGACCTAAAAGCAATTTTTTATACTAGAGCTGAATTTAGCCTAAACTTTTTATAGCTTAATATATTCCATCATCCACTAATATTGGCACGTATCTTGAGCAACTCAACCGGTTTTAATGTACTTCCTGGAAATATATATTCTTTTTATAAGTATTTCCATAGAAGTATACTAAAATCATTCATTTGCTTCTGAAATAAAGCTTTCTCCAGGGTGGAACGGAACACCAGCAGCATTGCATGAACCTTCTGGCCAACAGAGACAGTTCATAGAATCACAGAATAGTTTGGGTTGGAAAAGACCTTAAAATCATCCAGTTCCAATGCCCCTGCCATGGGTAGGATGCCTCACACTAGACTACGTCACCCAAGACTCCATCCAGCATGGCCTTGAACACTGCCAAGGGATGGAGCATTCACCTCTTCTTTGGGCAACCTGTGCCAGCACCTCACCACCCTCACAGTAAAGAACTTCCTTATATCTAACCTGAACTTCCCCTGTTTAAGTTTTAACCCATCACCCCCTGTCCTATCTCTGCAGTCCCTGATGAAGAGAAATTCAGGCTTTCCATCAAAGGTAACGCAAAATGATTTGAATTACCCATAGCGGACCTTGGCCATTTGTTTGGGTCTCAACAGGCTGTTTTCTTTGGTGTTTTTCAGAGCTGTTAAGTGGTAAAGGACTTAATTTCACCTCTTCAACATACAGAGAAACTAAAAAGCCGTGGGCAGTGTGGGCAAGTTGCTCACTCTTTAAAACAGGAAGAATAATTCAAATTACTCCCGTTCCAGTAATAACCTCTGATGCATATACCCCTTTGCATAGATTGCGATTAGTTGGGTGGATTGTAGTTTGCAGTGGTAACAAGAAAACTGATTAGCAGGTATATAAACAAACTCAGGAGCATTTTAGAAACAGGACTTTTTTGTTGTTGTTGCATGAATTAGTTTACATGCCCACTGTATGCACTGCATGAAAACTCCTTGTACTCAAGTTTCCATATGGATTATAATCTACCTAAGAAACCAAAAAGGGTTGAGTGCTGTAATTTGTATTTGAGAAACATGGTCTCTGCCTAATCTGGAAATGCAGCTGCAACGTGAATTAACAGGGCTAAAAACACTGTGATTGCTAAATTACAAATACAGTGAATCATGATTGCTAAACAAAGGGGGTGCAGTCATTATCAAACAGTGCCAGTGAAAAGCATCTCAATAAACTGCTCTTTCTAACAGGCTGTGATTGCTGGCATGGCACAGATGGTGCTTCTACACAGAAAGACTGCTAATTATTATTTATCTTACCTTCCTACACTTGAGCTGTTGGGAGTGTCTGGTAAATTTTAACTGACAAAAAAGATACCAATAACAATAATTTTAAACTGATGCAAGGCTCTCCACCCTCACCACCCCAGCTATCACGGTGATTTTTATGATCATTACACTTTAAATCTGGACCTGATATATTTTATGCAGAACTGAGAAGACAAAGGAACTCATATAGAAACAAATTTGTCCTCAGTTTTTGTTACATGAACCTACTGGGCATTTTTTGTTTGCTATACTATATTTCATCATTTAATTAAAATGATTTGTTGTTTATAGCTGTCTGTCATCTAAGACATGAAAAGGAAGTCAGGAAAAAACTCCAGGGGGCCTG